CTCGGTAAAACCATAACACCTAATCAGACAAGTGTATGGAGGTGACACCGGACGCAAGTCTAATCTCTCGACAGGATACTCCAACCCGTGCCCTATGCACATTCTTAATATTGTGAATTTCTGCCGATTTGTGGTGGTGAGGGGGGGGGGGGGTAATGGCATTAAAGGACGCATATACTCCATAGCGTTCGGTTGCGGTGCTCGATTTCGAAGATCATGGCGCACGCAACTTCATACGAAATTTACGTACGGAATCTGCTTGTGCGATATATCGTATGACAGTTTAATGCACATAAGGCATATGCCTAATTCGGAATAATTAACATCATAGAAATTTCTGGATTAAGTGAAAATAGTAGAAACATGCCTCAAAAAGCATTACTCGCACTAAATGTTGTTAAAACATTAAACACAGCAGAAGGCGCTCATCAAATCGCATTGAGCACAGTAATTTGGTCAACCTATGCCAATGCATTTTAAGATACGAAAACATTTCTCGAAAATTCTGAACGATTAGGCGAGTGCATTAATGTATTCCCGTCGCGTGAAAATAGAATGACAGTCAATTGACGCGCCAAGTATAAACACTTTGCGACATCTAGTGGAAAATATGTTTAAATATGCAATGGCAGGTGGATTGATGAACCAATTCTTTTAATAACCATGGAAACGAAAAACTATTGTAAACAAAACAGGATAGTACGTTAGAAAGCAGGATATTGCGCGGAACATTTTGTCCCGATAGTTACCTGCATTTCATAAGTATTTCCAGTGGTAACATAGGAATAACAAAATACTGTAATCACTTCAATACGTTGTCTGCGACTCATTAAAGTTGGGTATATGCAACGACTTAAGCCACTTTCGACTCTTTTATCCCAGTAGGAATATTCAACGAGTTCCAGAACGTGTAACACCTGGTGGCATATTGCGTGATGTTATCCGTAATGTTATTATAGGCATGGAGTTTGGCACGCTTCGCCGCTGTTTTGTTTATATTGGATATCATTTTTTAACATTTTGTTTTGGTAATATTTCATTGCATAATTCCTCGGAAATCTATCAATAGTGTCTAGATAAAAACCGAGGCCATTAAAGTATACGCTTGAAACTGGTTTTCATAAAATTGCTACACGCTCTCGCGCCGACACATTGGCGACGCTGATTGGTGGTTAAATCTGCGAGCATTGTGTAGCGATTGTTAAAGCTTGGTTTCCATAGAGTCGCTTCACAGTCGCTACAGTTTTTCACTGCAATCCGTGAACTGCGTAGCTGTCCCCGACGCAATCGGGAACGCTACCTCATTCAACTGACCAATCAACGTTACGAGAAAGGAGTCGGTGATAGTTAAGCTCCGTTGATCATATATGGTGGTGGTGGTGATGAGGAGGAGGAGTAAGATAATACGTAGTATAATGATAATAAAGATAATAAAGATAATAATAATAATATTGATAATAATAATAATAATAATAATAATAATAACAATAACAACAATAATAATAATAATAATAATAATAATAATAATAATAATAATAATAATAATAATAATAATAATAATAATAATAATAATAGTCCTAATGATAGAATGCAAATGACGAGAAGTAGAATAGAATTATTTGTAAACTTCTGTTCTAAATTGGGATTGTGCAAACATGTTTTGGCTGCGAAGTACTGAAATGCATTTGTACGATACCTCTTTTATAGTGTTTACCTTGATTAATTGAGCTTTTCACCTTAGATATTCTATTTTTAACACGTGTTTACGTCTGCAAGGGTGGCAAAGGTCACGTGGATGTATAATGCTTACGTCATCGGAGCACTGATTGAATGTGTCAGAGATTTTGATAAATTTCATACCTCCATCTACCGTTTGAAATCAACTTGAATCAATAAGACAAGACATGTGGAATGTAAGTCAGTTCGGTGTCATGTGGGTCTTACCTACCTTAATTACAGTTATTGTTTTCAGCAACGCTATTGCCCTAATTATAAGTACCGCGCCGCTTATTTTCAGAGGCGTCTGCTGTGATTATTCGAAAGAGCAGCTTATTATTCGTGGCCGATCATTTATTAGATAATTTACAACTAGTTACTGTATGTTTATAACAAAAAGGTCCTGTTTATTTATACTAACTCTGGGTTCGTTCAACAGATCATTAATATTTACTACCCTTTCATAATAACACATTGTGGAAAGCAATAATAATAATAATAATAATAATAATAATAATAATAATAATAATAATAGTATAATAATAATGTAAGTTTCTTTATCGTCTTTAATGCATTATATGAACATTGTCGAAAATGTCAAGAAAACAATAATAATAAGAGTAATAATAATAATAATAATAATAATAACATTAAGTTAATATTATCATCATTATGTATTTATATCACTTTTATTAGTAGGACGGTGTAGTAGTGTAGTAGTGTTATTAATTATTACTGTTAAACATCACGATTTCTATTATTAATATATCATTTATCATTATTTCTTTCAAACTATATTATTATTATTATTATTATTATCACCACCATGTGTTACTATTGTGGTTATTGGGCCTAACTATAATCAACTCATTTGATTCATTGCAAAAAATCAACGCTCTGCGATTTTGGCAGAGGTCAGGTGACTGATTCCAGAAGTAGTCACGTGACTCCGCGAGTACCGCCATAATCGTAGCGTAACTGCGTCAATACTTGAACCAGAATACCGTATCACCTGCCGAACAGTTTCATATTACGACCATGCTAAATTTTAAGTCGTTGAGTCGTAAAATATATTAATTAAAGTACATATCAATTACCGTAAATCAACATATCATTAATTAAAAGTACGTTATGCTATTCAAAGACGTGGTCTGCATGAGACGTAGACAATTTTGATATCAATATTTATCAGCACCGACATGTTTGATGGCTATTTAAGTAGATCTCGATTTTCGTAATAGGTTATTTTAACTCGAAGTTCTAATATAAGCTTATTTTTTTTTAAAACAACCAACGCACAGAGTGAAGAAGAAATGTTATGTCTGAGTCATGTCGGAGTATAGCAGACTAAATGTGTAGGCTACAAATATGTTTACACGCAATTTAATGAACACATATCAACAACTAGAACTATTATATTACAAAACAAATAGTATATTATATTTTGTATAGGCCTATAATGTAGACCAATAATCCACCGAAAGAAATGTAGGCCTACGTGGTGTCGCTGCCTAAAACCGAGCGATCACTGAGTTGTACGACGAGTCAAACTCCACTCCCTGTGAGCGCCGACGACGACGCTGATTGTCGGTGCAGAAGAAGTTCCTGTAGAAGATTGAAACACACTTTTGGTGACACGTTTAAAAGCAAACGTGTTTTTAGATATAGATTAACGTGCTTAGGATCTTGATGTGTTTAGCATCCGGCTAAATGTGCTTAGGTATTTGACATCATGTGTTGAAT